CTCTTCTGTTGAATTTGCAGTGTTACTGTGATCCAATCTTTCCATTCAGACTCTGGAAGTTAACATTCAACTCTGGACTAGTCCCTGCCATTAAGCTGACCATTTTCTTGGTTGTTTTTTTTTTTTGTACTCTTATTTCTGTGTGTCCAACCTTAGTTTTCCTGGTGTAGCACTCCTTTTAGCACTTCTTGAAGAGCTGGTCTGGTGTTGGTAAATTCTTTCAGGTTTTGTTTATCTGAGAATATTTTTGTCTTTTTTTCTCATATGAAGATAATCTTGCTGGGTATAGTATTCTTGGTTGAAATTGTTTTTTGGCTGTGCCTTAGAGATGATCTTCTTGGGTTGATTCTATGTGGGTTCAGTTCTTTGTATTTCTTGGGTCTGGGTATTTAAATGCCTCTCTATATTTGGAACGTTTTCTTCTAGGATTTCACGGAATAGATTATCAATGCCCTTATTAGTTTCTTTACTTCTGGGATACTGATTATCCAGAAGTATGAGCATTTAATGGTATCTAGTAATTTCTCATGTATTATGCTCATTTTGGGGGGTTATTTTCTCAGTCTTATTGGTGAAATTTTCTAGGTCAGAGATTCTGTCTTCTATATCTGAGATTTGATCTTCCATATGATCTAATCTACTTTTAATACTTTCAAGGAAGGTTTTGATTTCCTGTATTACAGCTTTCATCTCTAACGGTTCCATTCAATTCTTTTTTATGGTGTGTATTTCCTCTTTCAGATCATGCAAGAATTTCCTCACTTCCTGGAAGTCATTGTCTCTTTTTTCCTGTATCTTCTGGAGTATGTTGTCTCTCTTCTCTTGCATCTCTGTTAGCTTTGTCACTATGGATATTCTAAATTCTTTATCTGACATTTCTACAAATTCCATTGTACTGTTTGTGGATAATGAAAAGTTATTCTTTTCCCTTGAGGGAGAGATTTTTTTTTAGTTTCTCATATTTCTGGTGGTGATTTCTGGTCACCTGATAGATTATACATTATTTCCTAATTTTTGAAGTTAAATCTGAGCACTCAGAGGTGTGCAGGAAGGGGTGATCTGTGCTCCTTCTGCCATTCTGTTTTTCTTCCTCTGTGTAGCAGATTCATTGGGAATTGAGGATTACTCTAACACTGAAAATATTCAGATATTTGCTTACTGTGGACCCATCCCTGTCTAGATACTCAGTGTGTGGAAGCTGAGCAGTAAAGTGAGAAAGGTAAAAGAAAAAGGGAAAGGAAGAGAAAACAAAGAAAAAAGAGAAAAGACAAAGACAATGAAAAAAGGAAAAAAATTTTAAAAGCAAAAAATAAAAATCATATGGCTTGCTTTCAAGTCATCCAAAAGGGACCACTCACAGTTCAAATGTAAATGGTTTCTGAATAGGGCCTGTGATTTGCCTGCGGTATGTGGGAGGGGAGAGAAGTGAGAATTAGCAAGTTAAAGGAGAGTCAGAAAGCCAAGAAGAACTTTATATTAAAAATTAAAAAAAATATAGAGACAGAAAGAATACAGAGGATGCTCTATCTGTCTAGATCTTGGGATCTGGAGGGTAAAATCTGAGCAGAAAATCTTCAGTTGTGCTGGTCCCTGAAAGGGGCTGCTCACAGTTTAAATGTAGATGGTTTCTGAAAGGGCCCTCAATTTGCCTGTCCTGTCTACATCTTGGGGTCTGGCGGGTGAAATCGGAGCAAATAAATCTTCAGTTGTCCTAGTTCCTGAAAGGAACCATTCACAGCTCAAATGTAGAAGGCTTCTACATTTCTCATTCATATTATAGTTAGGTTTTCTGATTTCCTTGAATTACCTATCTATATTCTCTTGTATTTCACTGAGTTTCCTTTAGATTATTATTTTGAATTCCTTTTGAGGTAATTCATAACTTTCCATTACTGTGGGGTTTGTTAATGGAATGTTATTGTGCAGCTTTGGTTGTGTCATGTTTCTTGGATTCCTGCATTGATTTCTGTGTATTTGGTGGCAATACCCCCTCTTCCAAACTTTACAGAGTAGTTTACATACAGAAAGACTTTCGCTTTCAGACGGGCCTTAATGTGCTAGTTGGGATGGGCATGGCAATCTAGTTCTTAGTAGGTGTGGTGGTATCGCCTCTGTGTACCTCTGTTACGCTTCATAGAATGAGACATCATGTAATGGTGACTCTGAACTTTGGGGTGGTGGAAGATGGCAGTTACTCAGATTCTTATGAGACCAGATGTAGTGACAAGAAGATCCTCAGAATGGTGTGTGTGTGGGAGAGATCCCTTATAGAAGCCTGGTCACGCCATAATCCAGTTTTCCTCCATTTCTTTACTCTGTCAGGATTCTGTGCATGCATGTTGCCACTAAACTGGGATTCAAACCTGGGTCAGCCATGTGGGATCAGCTCCCTCTATATAACACTTAACCACTAAACTGTGAGGCTGACTTGTGCCATCATTCTTTGGTCTCTTCTCTCTGTAGCACAAAGGATAAGGTACCTTCCTTACCCTATCTCTGAATCAGGCTTTATTCTGATATATTCCGATTCCTTTAAATGGAAAATAGTATTTAGAAAATAAGACATGGGTGCTAGATAATCTTATTGGTACTGATGCATCATTGTCTCTAGAACCACTTACCAGACAGAGTGGGAAAAAAAAATGTGTATGCACACACACACACACACATATATACATATAATTGCACACATAGATATTCTACCTTTGCATATTTGGTATTTCACTTTCTAATAGAGAGAAACCTGGCTCATATTTGGTTTTATATTATTTGTCAAATTTTAAAATACATAGAAAGGCATTTCAGATTGTCTGACCTATACCAGTGAGAAACCTATTATCAATATTTGTTTACAATTATTATAATTTTAGAATGAAGCAAACTTCATTTTTAGAAGGGCTACATATTTCCAGAAAAATTGAGAATATTGTAAGAGTGTTCGTATACCTTGCATCCAGTTTCATCTGTTATTAATTATTTCATCTATTATTAATATTACATTGATATGATACTGGCTATGGTTTTAATATTTATCCCCTACTAAATGCACATTGAAACTTAATCCCCATTGTAACAGTATTAAGTGGTGAGGCTGAAGATTTGACGAGGTCATGAGGGTTCCACCTCATGAACAGATTAACTATTCATACATGAATGGATTGATGGGTGAGGATGGATTATTCTAAAAGCAGACCTCTCATTATATCTTTGGATCTTTCAATTTATGCTCTAGAGTGCAGAACTTCAGTATATATTGAGCAGGGATATATACAGTATTTGTCTTTCATAGTCTGACTTAGTTCTCTTAGCATTGAATCATAAGAATATCAGAAATTCTATGAGAGAGAAGAGGATAGTAGAGAGAAAGTGGGAGGGACTTGGGGAAGAAACTCTAAGCAGATACAAGATTGTAAAGTTCTCTGATGAGAATTATGTATATGGTAAAAACTGTTGTATACTGCATGCATACCTTGAAAAACATATTGTGTGCTATACAGATGTACCATGATTATAAATAATCATAAAAAAGGCAGCTCTGTCTTGCTCTCTGACACATGCTCATTCTGTCTCCTCAGGTAATGCCCTCTGCCATGTTACAATTCAACAAGTTGCTGTGAACTTCTTTGTATTGCTTTTGCTGCATCCCATAGGTTTTAATATGTTTTCATGCTCATTTGTCCTAGAAATTTTTACATTTTATCTTAATTTCCGTAACCCATGGTTTAAATGTAGATGGTTTCTGAAAGGGCCCTCAATTTGCCTGTCCTGTCTAGATGTTGGGGTCTGGAGGGTGAAATCTGAGAAGATAAATCTTCAGTTGTCCTAGTTCCTGAAAGGGAACTCATGGGTTGTTCATGTGTATGATTTTTAGTTTCCATGTACTTACATGGTTTCCAACATGTCTCTTACTAATTATTTCTTTTATTCCACTGTGGTCAGTAAAGACACTTGACATGATTTATATTTCCCTAAGTGTTTTGAGATTTGTTTTGTGGCTGAACATGTGTCCTATATTGGAGAATGATTTGCTGATGAGAAGAATGTATATTCTGTAGCTGTTGGATGGGATGTCTGTTAGTTCCGTTTGGTTTATGGTGCAGTTTAAGCCTAATGTTTCTTTGTTGAAGATGGTCTATCTAATGCTGGACAATTATATTCTTCACATAAATAGAAAGACGATCGTAAAATTTGTATGAGAAGCCAGCCCTGTAGCTTAGCTGTTAAGGGAGCTAAATACTGCATGTCGGCCTGCAGTTCAAATCCCGATCCCATGGCCAGAGAAACATGCTGGGTGCACATGCGCATATCTACTCCAAATTCTGACAAGGTGGAGAAATACAGAAGGAATTGGAGAGTAACCATCCCCCATGTGGGTGCTTTATCCTTCTTCCTCTGTTTCTTTATCATTCTCTGGCAAGTGCATGTATCCTCTGACAAATTAAAAAATACTTTAATTTATTACCATAGTGCATCCTGTTTATTATTTCACTGGTATTGGGACAAATTCTCACCTCTGTGATTAAATATTATGTAGAATAGTTATTTAATATGTTATTTTCATTTGTTTGGATTTTTGTAGAAAGGGAAAAAAAAACTTGATCTTTCCTATTGTGTAATATGTACATTTATGTGTGCGAAGGTCACCATCTTTGACAAATATTCTAAATAGTTCTTCCTTGTAGGAGATATTACTAGACTAGGTGGGCTTTTCACAGGCTGGGGAATAACTGTGTTGGAATGGTAGAGTATGAGATAATTTAGATCATAGGATATTACATATGAAGGTCCACTTCAGCATTTTTCTAGTTATGCTTACCTATTTTATAAAGAAAATAGGAAACAAGAGAGGAAAGAATAACTTAAGAAAACTTAGAATGAATTTATAACTTTATAATGCAGGTCTTCCCACATCTACAGTGCTGATCTCTGAACTAAATGCAGTATCATATGTGGAAATTCAATGACTACATTTCACAACTCAAGAGAACCAAGAGAGCAAGGTCTTTTGTGTCATATTTATTTTATCAGTTGTTTGTTTGCTGGTTTCCTTGCCTTGGCAATTGTGATGTGCTTGGGACTCACTTGATTTCCAAGTTCTCAGTTGTAGCCATAGATGCCGGCATCTTCCTCCGTAGGCACTGCTCCCTCTCCTGGATTCAGTGATGATGTCTGCCTACAGTCTTCTCTTTTTGAGGCAACTGAAGCTGTGCCCTATTTGTCACAAGTCACATGAATGGGAAAAATTTTTATTTCTCTCCCTGCTAGATAGTATACTAGTCAGGTAGCGCTTAAAATAAAAGCAATCCTTGTGATGATACTTCTACCCTCTTGCCCCATCCCTAAACATCCAACATTAACTAAGGGAAGAGATCCATTAGTGGAAGAACACATCCTCTCTTTGTAGTGTTTACTTCAAGATCTTGCTATCTTGTACTTGTGCACATGTTGCACTAAAGAGAAAGGGAGTTTCTTGCCTTACTATCTGAACCAAATCTGGGCTTTGAGGAATGACAGATGTTGTATGAGTGCATGTGTTCATTCAGAAAGATTTAATCTTTTGTGCCAAATATTGGAGTATTTGGGGTATTTTGATGATTTATGGAAGAAATAGAATAAAATACTTGAAAGGATGAAAAAGATACACAGAGTCACTGTATTTGGACACAGGCAGATGAAACCAGTTGTCTTTATTCTTTATTACTCAGAGTCTGTCTTAAAAGGAATTCTTAGTGATCCTTTGGGAGGGCTGTATCGAGGAGGGGACTGGCATAGTTTGTGCCACAGAGCAAGCAAATGAGATTGTCTTCTGCTTTCTGTGGGGCGAGGTGTCAGATGAGCTTAAGGAGCAGGGGAGTTACAATGGTTGAGGAAAATTGCTAGTCACTTAAGCAGTGCCTTTAGGGTCGGCACAATCAAGCACTTTATTAAAGAAAACTCTAGCAAAGGAGAATATTATAGAGATACTATGTTTGACCCTTGATATGGAACTAAGTTCCAAAGGTAATGTAATGCCAGTTTTCATAACACTTTCCAGAAAGAAAATGTGCCTCACATTTATTTGTGTGTTTTTACATTGGCCGCGTTTCCATTTCTCTATCTCACAATTGTCTTGCTCTGATTCCTGAACATTCTACTGAACTATCCATACCCGATGTTCTTAATCTTAATCAGAAGTTCCAAGAGGACCCTCACTGACTTTGCGCTTACTCCTCTCACCCAATTGCCCCTTGTTACTGGAGTGTGCCTATTTGGTGGGGTTCTGTACTGCCATGTTGAAATGAAAACTTACAAGGCCAAGGTTTCTCACTATGGCAGGTGGTCAGGGTGGAGGTTGGGGAAAGGCAGAGGAGTCCTTTTTCTTTGATTATAGAGTTAGGGTCCACGGTAGCTAGCTGATTGACTAGACAGCTGCATCCTCTGTTTACGGGCATGGGCTCCTGATGGCTGATCTTCAGTGCCGAACTGTGATCTTCTCAACTTTGGGGTTGTGTAGAAATCTGGAGGTCTGGTGCTTCTGTACCAAATAAGGAGGTTGTGGATGTGTTAGGGAGAAGGATCCCACCCCTTTGTGCCCCCTCACTGGCTTCCACCATCTTTAGTGATTTTGTTTTCATATTCCACCAGGAATGGGCATCACTAATTCTAGGGGTTGCAACTCCCTGGTGTGACCCACAGGAAAAAGCCATTTCTGGGTGTTAGGAGATGTCATAATCTATCAGAGTTTATATTTCACCAGGAAAATTCCTCCTGTTCACCTCAGAGGAATACCAAAATTAGGTAAGATCATACATCCAAAAAGGTTTTGACCAAGCAAAAGTACACCTCATATGTAAAGGTTTACAATAATTATATTTAGAATTTATGGAAATATGAAGTCACCTGTCAGTTATTCCTTCCATGATTTCAGCATTGAGTGAGTTAATAACTTGCCTCTATTTTATGAGGACAAATTCACTGAGTCAGGGACAAATTCTGGCAGGAATCTAGGGATGTAGGGAGTTTTTCTTCTCCATTTCCTAGCAGGACTGTATCTGGAACATGTCAAATTGATCATTTAAAAAAGGCATCTGTCAATAAAGCCCTCTGAATAACAGGGTGCTGCCATGTTTTTGAATACTTAGTTCTCTGTTTCTCAGTTGTCACAATTGAGTAATTATTTTTAATAGATATTTTTATTGTAGAGTGCATGTGCTCACTGGAGAAACAGAGAGACAGAGAGAGAAAGCGAGAAATTACTCCCCGGGGGATGGTGACACTGTAATCTCTTCTCCTCCATTCTCCTTTAGGGATTTTGTGCCCACATGCATATAAGCCCAGTGTGAGTTTCTAGTGCTGGGTCTGGGACTTGAACTGTGGTCACCTATGTGGGAGTTCAAGGCCCCAACCACTATGCTACCTGCTGGTCCACAAAGTCATTCTTAATGTCTAAACTAAACCTCTGGTGTGGTACCCTGCTCTTTTTCCTCCTTGTCTTGTTCTTACAGAAAAAAAAATGTTAAGGCATCAGATTCTTAAACTTTAATAAATTTTCCTTATAATCTTCTTCTTTGACACTTATTCATGGATTTCCTTTCCTATCTATAATTCTTTTTATGTTCCCTTATCCTCTCAATTGAATGACGATAACTCAAAATCTTTTATGGTGTAGTCCAGGGCTAATCCTAAGAGTCCAGGGATTTCTGATGGGGATGAGGATATAGGAGGAAGCGCTGGCTCTAAAGAGCCATCAGTTGACCAGCCTTTGAAAATGGCTGTGGTGATGGGGTTCCTCTGGTTCTTTAGAGGAGATTTGTATTGAAAACATAGGCTTCTGAAGGCTCAAGGCTTAGAGCGAGTCGTATTCCTGGTCAGTACAGCCATATCCATGTGGATGTCATCTCCTTGGGGGACTATTAGAATATGACCACTTACCCTGTCCTGGGTGCAGATGACATGGGTGTCGCAGAGCAATTGCTCATCCCTGAGGTGAATGCAAGAAAGAGTCATTCTGTTATAGGGATCTTGGAAATGTCTCCCCATTTTTCAAGCTCAGAACCCTTGTTTGGAGTATAGCCAGTGAGAGAGGAGGGACCAGACTTGTGGGGACACCAAGTACCTACAGGTCTGTCACAGAGGCAGCAGCACAATGTGGCACCAGATATTTGTCCACCTGTGGGGGAAATTCTGAATACGTTGGCCATAGAGCATTGCCACCAGAACTAATCCCTGGTCTCTTGTTACCTCCCCTTTTTACATGGAAAATGAATATATAAGACTTGAATTCTCATCTCAGCCTGAATTTCACTTCATGCCCCCATTTTCAGGAGTCAGAAAACAATAATAATATTTAGATCCTAAATCCATATTTTTACAGCCTGAGTGTTCTCAGAACCCTGTAGTGGCTTGTTTGGAAATCAGGCTTCTTTGGGTAGAAGAGAACATCCTTCAAGCAGAGGGAAACTTGGCCTGTTAGCCCTTTAGCCCTTAAGGATTGACATTCAAGAAAAGTTTCCTCTGTTTTTCACAATGGAGTCTCCAGGCCTCACTTTCTTATTCTGAAGTAAAGGTGATTTACTGCACTTGGAGAAAGATCACAGGAGGTCTTTTCCAGACTGCTGTTATTTAAAGGTTTTCAAGAAGATTTGTACTCCTATGAACTTTGTGGAGGTGCCAATACTGGTGTTAGCACTCAGAGAGATCCCAAAAGTAGTCTGGATCTCCTTTAGATTCACCCTTCCTCCAGCTTTCTGCACTCACAGCTGAAGTCCCTTCAACCCTAACATGGGGTATGATGGTTCCTGAATTAAATCTCACTCCATTCTCACATTAGAGAATCTCTCTTGGGGTTTGGTCATATACATCCTTGATAATCAAAGTGTGATCTATAAACCAGTAGCTTTGGCAACATATAAGAGCCTGTTAGGGATACAGAATCTCAGAATTGCAAGTGTACTCTAGCTACTGAATAAGAATCTGCTTTATAAACAAATGATCTGTGTGATTTGTATATTGAGAAGTCTTGACTTAGAAGTTCTTTCTTGTATTAGTGGAGGAAGGAATGCCAGATAGAGCTTTCTTGTGGTTACTCTAGATTTCTGGGTATTTTAAGTATTTTCCTGAAGCTAGAATTTGTATGTGGGCATTTGAACACTTTAACTTAAAAACTTTGAATAATCATCTCATTCTGTCCTCACTATTCCATCCTCTGCTAAGACAGGCCAACAGAGCTGGGGAGCTGACCCTCTGCGCTTGCTACCTGTCCTCTACCGAAAGAAACCTTGAGTGAGTGTTGAGAGTCCCTTCAGGACAACAGTCATTCCAAGGAGAAAGGGGCTCTTCCATCCCTGTTCAGATGCTATAGACTGAATGCTTTGTTCTCTCCAAATTCATATATTAAAACCTAAACCCCAACTTGGTAGTATTTGGAAGTGGTACCCTTGGGAGGTGGTTATGTCATGAGGGCAGAGCCCTCATGAATGAAATTAGTTGTCCTATAAAGGAGAACCCAGAGAACTCCTTGCCCTTTCTGTCATGTGAGGACACAGCAAAAAAGACAGCTATCTATGAACAGGAACTGGTTCCTCGCCAGATACCACATCTGCTGGTACCTTGATTGTAAACTTCCCAGCTTCAGAACCAGTAATAAATAAATAACCTTATTTGTTATCTATAAGGCACCCAGTCTATGATATTCTGCTATAGAAGTCTGGACGGCTAAGACACAAGATAACTGGACTGGGAAGAGAAGAGACCAGTAGTGGTCATTGAGATTTTAAGAAAGTTAGTGCTCAGTTTTGTTGAAGGAAGAGAGCAAAGGGACTTGGACCTCAACTCTAAGCCAATGAAAGATCCTAAAGGAGATTTTAGGATAAACATCCTCCTGTTTCTTCATCTAAGCCTTGCAATACCTCTCTTTTACCTCGAATCCGAGCATCTTCCTGCAGCTGGAAAATAATGAGAAATTGGAGAGTCAGAGACCGGGAACTTGTCTCTGTTCCTTTAGTCTACCAGTATAAATTAGGTCTAATTAGGATATCTATTTGAGAAATAGTGATTTTTGGGGGAATGGAACTAAATTCTATGTTTCTTTTTAACTTTTTTTTATTGTTTTATTTACATTTAATCACTGTATATCTCTACATCCCCCCCCCCTCGGACGAAAAATTCTGTTTCTTAAAAGTAGACTTTGTATTGTCTTTGTATGTCTCTCACCAAACCACTTAAGATAATGTACATGAATAGGCTCAATAAATGTTTGTTGAATAATGAATGAATAAATAAATAGGAGTAAGCTGTGGCCTCTTTAGGGGAGGGAGACACTCAATTCATTCCATGTAGTCCTAACTACTCATACATGACTTCACTTCTTTTATTTTTTCTGGTCTTTGTGCTATACCTTTTCTGGCCCCTTTTGCCCTCATCATTGGCTCTCTAGAGTGAAAACTTTAGTACTTGTAAAGGACCTTACAAAAATAATCCTGGGGCCAGCAGCTGGCATGGTAATTAAGGGTGCTGAACTCCCACATGGGTGTCTGCAGTTCTAGTCCCAGACCTGGAGGCTTGCTTTCTCAGTTTCTCTCTTTTTCACTCTCACTCTCACTTTGCCCCTCACTGGTAAAATTAAATAAATAAATAAATAAATAAAGTTCAATAAAAGAATTCTTTAAAAACTTATCCTTCCTTTCCCAGAGTAAATAGCTGTAATCGATCCACTTTGGGGCCACCCTGAGTCCCTGTGAGTCAACTAGATGGTTTTTCTACATTAGAATGTTCGGGTGTTGGGTCTATATTTGTTTAATCAGAAAGAAAGCACATTCTATGTATGTCTACCTCTCCTTGCTATCTTTTGCATTTCATGTAATTACATGGAGTATTCTTGCTGAGAGAAGTCCTGGTAGATATAATTTTCTCTCTATAGTATACATTTCTGGAAGAAGATTATTAGGCATCTTCTTGCTTAGCTTCTCAGAGTGACAAATCAACACTACTCTTTAAATGGAAAAATCACTAGATAAATAAATGAAGCTAAAATGTTGGTAAGAATCGACATCTCAGTAGGGTATAGAAAAAATGGGATTGAAGGCTCGTGATGAGGTTGGGAAAATGAGATAATTAAAATTTAATCTCACCTCCTTTTGTATATCCTTAAAAGCTGTCAGCACCTGATAAAATACAAAAACATAGAAAAGTAGATATTAGACTATCACTTTATTACAAAGAGATTTCTGTAGAGAGAACAAACTTACCTAACTTTTTAGCCATTAGGCTGTAGAGCATAAATGCCCAGAAACTGTGGCTTTCTAGCTTAAGCCATAAATTCTCTTCAGCTTCTACTCTACATGTCTTGGGACTGTCATTTCTCTGTATGGTAAATGGGTGAAGTGCAGTAAAGTATTTAAAAAGTTCTGGACTTGGCCAACCCATGGTGTGGTGGCTAAGGCCGCTGGATCCCACATGGCTCATTGTATGGTTCGAGGCCCAGACTGGTAATGTGGAAACACATGCCAGATCCATGTGTGTCCAAAATCTTGAAAAGAGAGAGAAAAAGGATTAGGGCATGACTATTCCCCATGGGGGTTGCTTTCTCACTTTCCCTCTTCTCTGTCTCGCCAGTGAGCACATGTACCCTCTGGCAAGTAAGTAAGTAAGTAAGTAAGTAAGTAAATAAATAAATAAGAGATTTAGGTTTTGAATAGAATGTATAATAAAACTGACTATTTCACTTCTGTTTAATCAGTGCTTGTCCTAAAGCTAAGCATAGCTGTACAAATCAATGTATATTTGAATTAGTTTATAATATACTGGAGGGCATCTCCAAATATTAATGAAGATACAGAACAGCTGGAACTCTTATACATTGTTGGAGGGAGTGTAAGATCATTTAGGTTTTGAATAAAATGTATAATAAAACTGACTATTTCACTTCTGTTTAATCAGTGCTTGTCCTAAAGCTAAGCATAGCTGTACAAATCAATGTATATTTGAATTAGTTTATAATATACTGGAGGGCATCTCCAAATATTAATGAAGATACAGAACAGCTGGAACTCTTATACATTGTTGGAGGGAGTGTAAGATCACATAATAATTTTGGAAAACATTGTTGCAGTTTCTTATAATATTAAATATATAACTATTCTATCACTCAGTCATAGATAAATATGATGACTGTTGGAACTCAGAGTTGCACCATTTGGGAGAAAATGTGAAAATTTTAAGACAGATGGCTGTATCTCATTTGGTGGAAATATAGTTATTTTAGATATTCATGAATTTCAATTTGTGTGCAAGGGTGCAATGGAAGGCGAATAGTCAAAGGGACAGTCAGTGCCTATTATCAATTTATTGCCTCTCAGGATGGTCTTCTGATCCTTACACAATCAACTCACTTGTGAGCTTATGCAATAATTATAAGGACATGAAAAAATCATTCTTATGTAGAACGTTGTGGTTAATATATTCCCTTCTGTGAAAGTGATAAGAAGTATCATTAAACATCGCAGGATAAAAAAATCACAGAGTATTACTCACTTCATATATTGTTCAGTGGCAGCTGGCAAGAGAGGCTCTGGAAATTTCACTTATTTTTAATTTAAAATATTTAACAAACAATCTTTTCTTGCTCATTTCCACATGAGAAACTGAGACTGTAAAATCATCAGTTATCCTTTAAGTCTTACCATCCTGTATGTTCTAAAATCATCAGTTATCCTTTAAGTCTTACCTCTATCCGAGAGTTTCAATGTACGTGGCAACTAGAATGTCAAGATTGGAATACTGAAGTAGCTGATACTTGTGAAAAGACTTCTATAAATTCCCAAGCAAACATCTGTGTTCTACTAAAGTTCTCAACACTTTTATCTGGGTACCTTATGGGCATAACAAGCTTCTACACTCATGTGTCATTCAAACATGAAGTGAAACCTCACACTGTCATGTATGAAATTTGACCACTTTGTCATTTTCAGATGGCTGGGAAACCAAGGACATTCTGTCAAAGTAAACAAGAATCAGCTTTTGTAGAATTAGAAGAAGCTACTCGAAAAATTCATTGAAGTTTTTTTAAAAGCAATTTACAATGTAGGGCTCAATCATGTAGATTCTAAGACTTATTGCTTGTGATATTGCTTCTGTTAGAAGACCGAAGGCAAGAGTCTCTGTGATGGCCTAATGAGCCTATTTTTCATTTACTATTTTTAAAAGTTTATTAGATTCTTCCATTATCAAGAGAGAAAGAGTAGAGCCTCCAACAAAGTCCTGATGCCATGATCTACTCCCAGCTGCTGCCAGCCCCAGAATCTGGGCACATAGTACCCACTATACTCAGGGAGTGCTCTAGATGGGAACCTGGGACTGTCCCATGTGGGTCAGCTTCACAAAGCAGCGTGCTTCACTGCTGTGCCACTGTCTGGGCCCCTAGTTCTCATTTTCATCTTAGAGTTTTCAGATCCCCAAACATTCTTTTGATAGAAATCATTGATTTCATCCATTATAGAACAGAATTAGAATGTCTTTTACAGAAGAAGATTTTGTCTCGGAGTACACAATTTCTGAGGTATTGCTTCCTTGAAGTGAAATAAAAATACAGTCTTTTTTCCTAAACATAAGAAGGATGGTTCTTCACTTACAAAGCCGATTTTTTTTTTTTTTTGCTTTCTTTTCATACTTTAGATTTACAAAGCAGATTTTTTTTTTTGCTTTCTTTTCATACTTTAGAACTCTCCAGTAAATAGCATGTCTGAGTCTCTCAAATCTAATAAATTAAAGAACAGAAAAGCTAGGCATACTGTTCTAGCCATTATTTCCTTTCAAATAATTTTCAATAGATTTGAGAATATGTAGGACAGTCAGAGGCATTAAAAAAAAATGTTGGCAACATCTGATGCCACAGATAGAATCTGGCACTGGTGAAATATCCTAAAGAAAGTCACAGCAGGTAGAACTACCCTAGTAACAATTTCCCATCATCATCATGCAAAGCAGAATGACGTCCTAGCTGGTAAAATTATAGCTGAATGATTTAATTTAATTATTATGGCTTTTAGTGCCCTGATACACACCCTCCGTCCACAGTCAATGGGATAACACCGTTATCTTCTGTGTTACAGGATCCGACCATGTCCTGAGCAAGACCACCAGAAGCAATGAAGCCAGTTGGCAGATTATGCTCAGAAACAAATGCTCACTAGTAATTACATAAAACATAAGTCATTTTTATGAACTCATTTTGGCATTCAAATAGATCAAACTAAACATCTCTGCTCAGCAAATTGATTTTCAAAAGGTCTATTTCGAGACATACTCTTTCTGGAGAGCACAAATTGTTCAGAAAATTATGTTTTCTGATGCAAGAGCCAAGGGACTGGTCAATGTCAGTCAATTTGGCAACTCCAAAAGTAGAATAACTTTCTTTCTGTTCAGAAAGGCAGTAGGATATTTAGCTTTCATAGCAGAATAGCTTCACTTCCTTCTCATCTGAAAGTTAAAGTATACAATACTTTCTCAAGGTATTTGCTAGAAGAAGAAATTTAACTGATTCACTTTGTAGTTCTTACTAAAGAGTGGTCAGAGAAAAACTATTTTTAGGTTTTTGCCAAAGGTCACATGCACTTGCCTGAGAGAGAAAGAGAGAAACATGGAGAGGGAAGGTGAGGAATCACCCATGGGGGTGGGGAAGGTGGCCATGCTGCAATCTCTTCTCTTCTGTTCTCCTCTCAGGATTTGGGGCACACAATCACACGTACTTTGTGTGATTTTCAAGCCATTGGGTCTGGGATTCAAACTGTGGTTGACCTTGAGAAAGTCCAGCTTACCCACTATACCACCTGCAGGCTCTGATTTTTTTTTCTTTTTAATTTTACTTTTGGAAACTTTTGTCTTTGATCAGAAAACTTACAATTACATTCTTTAGGAAATATTAGCTTTATTTTCCTTTTTGCCTTGGCTATAGGAGCTTTGGAACTCAGTTTTATTATTTCACTTAGAAAATATATTTCCTTTAATGGGAGGTATATAATAAAACTTTTATTGTATTTGCATTTATATAAAAAGTAGATTGATATATTTTAGAGATGAATAATATGAATAACAAGTATTTGCTTATTTATATTTTAGGGTCAATTTGTATTTTTAAATTTCCATTAAAATAAACCATACAGACTTCTTTTTCAAGATTTCAGAGTGGATACTTGCTAAAACCACTCCCTTCTCTTCAAATAGAAATCACAGAAATAGCATATAAAATATCTTATACAATAAGTAGTTTAAATCGCTGTTTGACTATCAGGACCAGGCAATTTTGAGAATAGTAGAGTGTCTTATATTAAAGCATTTTATACATTTAAGTAGGTAAAGTAGTAAAAAATTGACATAGAAATATATGACTACATTAATGGGATTTTCAGTCAAAGGTGATTTTAACGGTTCCTCCCCACCATGGATATTTGGTAATGTCTGGAGACATTTTTGGTTATCACAACTGTGGAGAAGGGTTGCTGCTATTATCTAGTGAGTAGAGGGATGATTCTGAACATCCTACCACAGGATAGTCCGTCACAAAAAAAGAGTTATTCAGTCCAAAATGTGAATAGTGCTACAGTTGAGAAACTCTGGAATAGAATGTTCAGAAACAGATCCATGTATATACATATAGGAAATTGGAATATGGTAGAGGAGTCATTGCAAATCAAGGGAGGAAAATGGACTATTCAAAAAACAAGGTTGAGGGGCCAGCAGGTAGTAGTTAAAGGCACTGGACTCCCACATAGAAAGTGACATACAGTCAGTAGAAACCAAACTTTCAGTGCCTTTACAACCATTTAGTTACTTGCTTTCAGTACAGTATTCAATAAATTACATGAGAAATTAAACACTTTGTTGTAAAGCAGGCTATGTGGTCTTGCCCAAGCTAATGTAACACCAAGCTTTAGAAGCTAATGCGAGTATTCTGAGTATGTGTAAGGTAGGACAGGCTAAACTATGATGTTTAGTTAGGTGTATTAACTGCATTCTGAACTTAAAATATTTTCGACTTACAATGGGTTTATTGAGAGTATTCTGAGTATGTGTAAGGTAGGACAGGCTAAACTATGATGTTTAGTTAGGTGTATTAACTGCATTCTGAACTTAAAATATTTTCGACTTACAATGGGTTTATTGAGAGGAGCAAAACTTAAAATATATTCATAAGTAACTTATATTCTTATAGTCAATAGATAAAATGAAAAATTTTTACAAACTGGGGCTAGCAGGTGGTGTGGTAGCTAAAGTTCAGGACTCCCACATGGCAGACAATGGTTTGAGTCCTGGACTTGGCAGCTTGAAAATCATGCCAGACAGGTGGTGACGGCATGACCGAAGTCCAAAGAGGAGGATGGAAGAGAAGGGATTGTGGCATGGTCATTCCTCTCAGGGGGAATGGAAAGAATATCTGTATTTGTTATATTATGATCTGAACGTGTCTGTATATTTTTAAGTTTTGGTTCATAGATAGGTAGAAGATCAGAATTGAGAGGCAGGATATTACAGTGGCCTCTTGGGCCATACTGTCTGGGTTCAAATACCGGTACAAAGATTCAGAGGTTATGTGAGAGATTTTTTAACCTCTTGTGTCTCATTTATAAATGAGATTGCTGATGTTAAGAGTCACTGCCTCCAAAGACTTTTGTGAGAATTAAGAGTTAATCCATTTAAAACACTAGAAATAGTGGCTAACCGGCATGACCGAAGTCCAAAGAGGAGGATGGAAGAGAAGGGATTGTGGCATGGTCATTCCTCTCAGGGGGAATGGAAAGAATATCTGTATTTGTTATATTATGATCTGAACGTGTCTGTATATTTTTAAGTTTTGGTTCATAGATAGGTAGAAGATCAGAATTGAGAGGCAGGATATTACAGTGGCCTCTTGGGCCATACTGTCTGGGTTCAAATACCGGTACAAAGATTCAGAGGTTATGTGAGAGATTTTTTAACCTCTTGTGTCTCATTTATAAATGAGATTGCTGATGTTAAGAGTCACTGCCTCCAAAGACTTTTGTGAGAATTAAGAGTTAATCCATTTAAAACACTAGAAATAGTGGTTAGCCAGTAAGTATTCAATGTATATTTGCAATATATTACTAGAGGCAAATGGAAATAGTTACTACCTCCTCTGTGCTTCGAGGTTTCTAGGTAATATTCTTATTAAACTATGAACCAAACTACTTTGGAATTATTGGTTTATGTTCCTTTCTCTCTAGTTCAGCTGTGAGATTCTTGAGAGAAGAAATGATGTATTTCTTCTGACTTATGGTGGGTAATGTCAAATAGAAGCTGAATTTAATTTAACTTTGCTTACATTTTACTTGTTTAGTTAAGGTCTTTATCTTGATCTAAAGTGACTTTGACATGCAGAGACAAATCAGCCTTCACTGCAGGGTTCAGAGAACAGTTTCATCACACTGAACATGTGAGAAAGGCCAGACCTGTGCTTGCAGGTCTGGGACAATCACTGAGAATTGAGGAATTAAACATGCTTCAAATCAGACTTCAACAAACAGTACCCGTCATAGTTTCAGTCAGGTGAGTGTAGGAAAGGGGCTCTGAGAAGCACAGAGAAGGAGTTCTGAGAGTTTGGACTGAGTGAATAATAGAACAAGATGTGATGGAGTGATCCTTCACCATCAATCAGCAAGCTGCTCACGGAAAGAGAATGAAATGTGCTCCTTTCTTAAGTCCTCTCGCCTGTCTCTCTCTTAGCCATGCTGTCAAAAATGACCCCTCTGTACTCACCTGGTCCCACAGGGTTTCAGTGATCGTTACCTGTCTTCCCTGTTGAAATATGAAAACAAATCTTGGAAACATTATTCATATGAATTAATATATTATGGAATAGGTGGAATAAAATATATTTCCTAGAATGTCACCCCATTTTTCGGGCAGAGCAAAGTATCCTCCAACTCTTAAGTAATTTTTAGCCCATATTTTCTGGTCATTTCTTGATATAGCTAAAGAGTGACAGAAAACAAAACAAAACAAAACAAAAAAACATGTTTACCCATTTTATCACTTCCTGTATAGCCTGCCTGCCCCTGGAGTCACCTGGTGAAGTGCATTGTTAGACAATGACCCTTCAGCTGGTCAAGAGAATGATGAACTATAGAGCCCAAGCCTTCCAAGATATGGAGGCCATACCATGTGAGAAAGGCCAGCTGCCTTGTCAGGCAACTTTTCTGCCTTTTGCCCATGGTCTCTTTTCCTCCCCCTCCTCAAGAACCAGGAGCACCAAAGGAACCAGTGTACTTGGATATCTTACCGACCTGTGGTCCCATAGTCCTTTCTAAGGACGTGCTGAAAAGAAAGGATATAAATCTGATGAGGAGCTGGGAACATAAGCCAAAGGCTTCTAATTTTCTCCTAAAACTCCTAGCAACAATTTCTGAAGTTTCTATATTAAAAATTCAGAAAGAACAGTGAAGGTCTTGCTCTCATATTTCTGGGAGTTGGGACCTTACCAACTACAGTATCTTGGCTTTTGTGATAGCACTTTGAGACGTCTCAGGCACAGAGCAATAGCGTGAAGGTATGGTCATTATCATTAAACCTTACCATTCTCCTGCTTAGTTGTGTCTACTTGCACTTTTTACCCCTTCTAAACTGTCGAACTTCCCAGGTCCCTCTTGAGAAAGCACATCCATTAGAAAACTGCTTCTTTTGTTGTTTCCCATCCCCTAAAATGTATTCTTCTTTTCCTTAATGACCTTTGATGGGGTGAGGATGAGGATGGAAGGCTGAAGGAGTTGAAAAATTTTGCATATTTTCACAGTGTGACTAAATGTCTAATTCCTAAACACTAATTGAATCAGTGCCTGAGTCACCTGGAAGAGGGAGTAGCTGTATACAGGGTTAGACAGGCAGGAGAGAGGGCAAAAATGGGTGAAACTTGGGCAATCTGTCTGATTTATACCCTGAGCAAACCTAGCCTGGATCTTCTGGCCATATGTAGACTTGCATTGGAGTGGCAGACCAAAGGAGATTGGTAACAGACGAGAAAAGGGAAGGGTAGGTCATTACCTCTTAGAATTATTTCTGGAGGGTCCTGGAGTGGGACCCTCAGGAGATATTGGAGAAAAGAGGGAAAATTATGTCTCAGAACCCAAGGACCCTTTTATCTCTAGCTGGGGTTCCTGCTTGTACAGTTTCTGTCATAAAAAGAAACAATAAATCATTCCAAACAAGAGTGGAGAGGTTAGTAACCATAGGATTCTGGGAGTACAGGAGAGCAAATCAGATCCCGAGGGAACATTGATACCAGCATATATCCATTGGGGGAGGGGGGCTCTTGAAGAGCATCAATTCAGAGCAGCAAAGAACAGGCTGGACATCTCCTTGGGGCCATCTATCTGATAGCTTACATCCAGAACTCTGCCACCTAGATTGTTTTTCTGTGGAACCCGAGGACAGCCCTTCCTCATTCCAAATACAAGTCATGCTCTTGATCATGAACATATCCTTACTTTTAAGATTCTCGCCCAAAGTTCCAGACACCTATTCCATGGAGTGGGAAGGAGAAATAAAGTGAAACAGAACTGGGATTCACCTGGAGTTTTGTCCTCCAATCTCCTACAATATAAACACTTGTAAACAGAGGTGGTGAATAAGTAACATATTAGATAAAGGACACTGAAGGAAAGTGTGTGGATGCGATGATACAGAGAGACAGAGGAAGAAATACAGAGAGAGAGAAAGAATGAGGGGAGTGGGAGGGAGAGACAGAGAAAGCATTCAGTTCTAGTGATTTATTACCTGAAATTGGGACAGAAGAAGACTGCACCTTCATTATCTAAACACTGAGGTAGGCATTTTGATCCATTTATTTAACCTCAGAAAATCTTATGAGGGAGGTGTGGGTGGCCTACTTTACCATGTAGCAAACCAGAGCTTTGATATGTAGTAATAGTAGTGAAAAAGCTTGGATTTCAACTCAGGCCCATTTGATTCCATTTTATGTTTTTACTTCTATAAAAGCATGTCAGTTATTGTGTCCCAGTTATTTTTTAGTTGAGTTACCAGAAGCCTAATTACTTCACAGCAGGAAGAATTTGGAACTTAGGGACAGAATAGCCTGAATTGCAGCTTCACTATGTTCTAGTTCCACAACTTTTGACAGGTATATGTGCATGTGAATCTGTTTCTTCATCTATACAACAAAAAGAATGATCCTTATCACAAGGGTTTTGGGAAAGAGCACATGAAAGCCTTTATAAGTTTTAATGTTCATTTCAAACATTATCGTTGATAGTGTTATTTTTATGTCCACTGCCAAAAGCACCGCTTAATGAGCAGAGAAGTCAGGGCTCTGGAGTGATTTATATGCTTCATTGCTTAGATATCCAAGGGACTCCGATATCTACTCACTATTTTCTTCTCAGGGTCCTGCAGTTCTCTAGAAGAAATTCATATTCTTAGAGAAGATTTCAATCTTTTTTCAAGATTGAGTCTTCTCAATTTCTCACTGGTTCTCAGGCTTTTTAGTCTCAGCCAACCATTCTGAGCATTTAGTAAGATAGCAGCCTAAAAACCTACAAATCACTTTTAACATTCCCTCTCTTCCCAAA